GGTTTTGACCTGATCTAAGTCTGTTTTGCCTTGTTTTCTGAAGCAAATAAGACTTGTATCCTCAAACTCTCATTTTGTCAAAACACCACATGGTGTTTGTTCACTGATTAGGGTGTCAAGCTATTGGTGCTTTGCATTTTGAGGAGTTTCTGTCGAGGCCAATCGACCTTTTGTCTCCTAAACGACGGGGGAGCGGCCAGCGCAGCCGCAGCCGACTTCCACTAACGAGGGAGTATTTAACTAGAAATCGTGGGAAGCGTTAGCTTCAGCGTTTACGTGTCCTCGCAGCACGAAGACGAGCAGAACAAAGACAAGGAGTCTTTCGTGGAGTCAAGACGAGCAGAACAAAGACAAGGAGTCTTTCGTGGAGTCAAGACGAGCAGAACAAAGACAAGGAGTCTTTCGTGGAGTCAAGACAGAACAAAGACAAGGAGTCTTTCGTGGAGTCAAGACAGAACAAAGACAAGGAGTCTTTCGTGGAGTCAAGACGAGCAGAACAAAGACAAGGAGTCTTTCGTGGAGTCAAGACAGAACAAAGACAAGGAGTCTTTCGTGGAGTCAAGACAGAACAAAGACAAGGAGTCTTTCGTGGAGTCAAGACAGAACAAAGACAAGGAGTCTTTCGTGGAGTCAAGACGAGCAGAACAAAGACAAGGAGTCTTTCATGGAGTCAAGACGAGCAGAACAAAGACAAGGAGTCTTTCGTGGAGTCAAGACAGAACAAAGACATGGAGTCTTTCGTGGAGTCAAGACGAGCAGAACAAAGACAAGGAGTCTTTCGTGGAGTCAAGACGAGCAGATCAAAGACAAGGAGTCTTTCGTGGAGTCTTCGGGGCGGCTGAATGCGGCGCCTTCTTCTGCTATTTTTAATAATGTGTTTGACCCCTTTACCCGTGCCTGTTCGAATCTCGCAGATACTACAGGCCTCGGCCTAGATCTGCTCTCTATCGTAACCTCTCCTCTCTCACCTATCCCACCCGCTCCTCACACGTCCAGCACCTCGTCACAGGAGGTCTCTGGAACTGCCAGTCAGCGACTCGCAAGGCTGACTTCATCTACGGCTTCGCTATCCAGCAGTCACTCGACTTCCTCGCTCTCACCGAGACCTGGATCACACCTGAGAACACATCCACCCCAGCCGCTCTCTCCTCCGCCTTCTCCTTCAGCCACACTCCCAGGCCCACTGGTAGGGGTGGTGGCACAGGTCTACTCATTTCACCCAAATGGGGCTTTTCTCTCTACCCTCTACCACCATCCACCCCATTGTCCTTTGAATTCCATGCAGTAACAATCACTCACCCGGTACAATTAACCATCATTGTCCTCTACCGTCCGCCAGGCTCCTTAGGTCATTTCTTGGAAGAACTGGACATTCTCCTGTCTAATTTCCCCGAAAATGGACCTCCGCTCATCCTCCTGGGTGACTTCAACATCCAGACAGAGAAGTCACCTGACCTCTTACACCTACTCTCTTCCTTCGCTCTGTCACTCAGTCCCTCTCCTCCTACTCACAAAGCCACCAATCACCTTGACTACATCTTTACTAGAAACTGCTCTACCACTAACCTCTCTGTAACTCCACTTCATGTGTCTGATCACTTCTTCATCTCTTACTCCCTTCCACTCTCTATAACTAACAAACCTCCCTCATTGACTAACTCTATACCGGCTCGTCGCAATATTCGCTCCCTCTCTCCCTCCTCGCTGGCATCCTCTGTTCTATCAGCTCTCCCTTCAACTGACTCCTTCTCACTCTTGCATCCAAACGCTGCTGCAGAGTCTCTCCTCTCAACTCTTTCCTCCTCTCTAGACTCTCTCTGCCCTCTTACGACACGACGGACTGGTAAATCCCCTCCGGCTCCGTGGCTGTCTCAACCGGTCCGTGCCATGAGAGCCACCATGCGAGCGTCGGAAAGGAAATGGCGTAAATATAAACGACCTGAGGACCTGCTCGAATTTCAATCTCTCCTCTCCTCGTTTTCTGCTTCTATCTCTGCTGCCAAAAGCTCCTTCTACCAATCCAAAATCGAATCCTCATTCTCTAACCCCAAAAAACTCTTCTCGATCTTCTCCAATCTCCTCGAACCCCCTACCCCTCCTCCCCCCTCCACCCTTCTTCCGGGAGACTTTGTCAACTACTTCACCAAGAAAATAGCTGACATACGCTCCTCCTTCTCAAACCCACCTCCTACTTCTCGCGTCCCACCGACCTCACCTCTTTCGCCCTCACTTTCCTCTTTCACCGCCCTCTCTCCTCACCAAATTCTTACCCTAGTAACCTCTGCCCGTCCGACCACCTGCCCTCTTGACCCCATTCCATCACATCTTCTACAATCTATTGCACTCGACCTTCTTCCGTTCCTCACCTGTCTCATCAACAACGCTCTGATATCTGGCTGTTTTCCCAATTCTCTGAAGGAGGCAAAAGTCAACCCTCTCCTGAAGAAACCCACCCTCAACCCTTCTGAAGAAAACAATTACAGACCGGTCTCTCTTCTTCCTTTTTTGTCCAAAACCCTTGAACGTGCTATCTTTAATCAACTTTCCTCTTATCTCCACTGTAACAACCTCCTTGACCCTCACCAGTCAGGTTTCAAGGCAGGCCACTCCACAGAGACTGCTCTCCTTGCTGTCTCTGAGCAACTCCACACTGCTAGAGCCGCCTCTCTCTCCTCTGTCCTCATCCTTCTGGACCTCTCTGCTGCATTTGACACGGTCAACCACCAGATCCTTATTTCCTCCCTTCAGGAACTTGGTGTCACAGGCTCTGCTCTCTCCCTTCTCTCGTCCTACCTCGATGGTCGCACCTACCGGGTAACCTGGCGAGGATCTGTGTCGGAACCTTGTCCTCTTACTACTGGAGTTCCTCAGGGTTCCGTGCTGGGTCCCCTCCTGTTTTCGCTTTACACAAACTCTCTTGGCGCTGCCATTCGCTCGCATGGCTTCTCTTACCACAGCTATGCCGATGACACCCAACTAATTCTCTCCTTCCCTCACTCGGACACCCAGGTGGCGGCTCGGATCTCTGCCTGTCTAACTGACATCTCTCAGTGGATGTCCGCCCACCATCTGAAAATCAACCCCGACAAGACTGAACTACTTCTCTTTCCCGGAAAAGATTCGCTTACCCAGGACCTGACAGTCAACTTTGGGAACTCCGTACTAACGCCCACCTTGACCGCTAAGAACCTCGGCGTCACACTCGACAGCCGACTCTCCCTGACTCCCAACATTGCCGCGACAACGCGATCCTGTAGATACACGCTCTACAATATCAGGAGAATACGTCCCCTTCTCACTCAGAAGGCAGCGCAGGTACTGATTCAGGCTCTTGTCATCTCCCGCCTGGACTACTGCAACTCCCTCCTGGCTGGTCTCCCTGCCACCGCCATTCGACCTCTGCAGCTCATTCAGAATGCAGCAGCTCGACTGGTCTTCAACCTTCCGAAATTCTCCCACACTACTCCACTCCTCCGCTCTCTTCACTGGCTACCGGTGGCCGCCCGCATCCAGTTCAAAACATTGGTGCTCACGTACCATGCTGTGAATGGATCGGGTCCAGCTTACATCCAGGACATGGTCAAACCCTACATCCCAACCCGCACTCTCCGCTCTGCATCTGCAAAACTACTCGTCCCTCCCTCACTGAGAGCAAAACACTCGACTAGGTCTCGACTCTTCGCTGTCCTTGCGCCAAAATGGTGGAACGAGCTCTCTGAAGACATCAGGACCGCAGAGAGCCTTACGTTGAGATGGTCCCTTGTATTTTACACACACTATGAAAATGTTATGATTTCCTACTTGATTTACACACTTTAATTCATCTTTATTTTGTGTGATAATTTGTCGTGTTGTATGTCGTGTTGCACAAGGCTCAGCTCTGCACAGACTATGTCTGTCAAGAAGGATCTGTAATGGAGAGCATTGGGTCGTGCCCTACTTAGATGATTTCACTGCCATGTGGAGCTGCCAACAAGCATAGTTGCCCAACGCAACGCTAAATAATAAAAGCTGCTTTTGGCTTATTTTTTTTTCTGAAACCCTTTGCTTTTTTACCACTCCCCCCCAAAACTGCAGCCTTCACGCCGAGGGCTTCAGTGGCACAGCTGGGCGGACCAGCAGCCTCTCCCACACTGGCACCCAGTTCAGCACCAAGGACAGAGACAACGGCCGCTGCGCCCAGTTCGCATCGGGAGGTACGCAGCTTCCCCCCCAACTTCGATCCTCGTCTCAATCTGTCCGTTCTTGTAACGCATATTGTTAAACACTCCTTGTTAATGTTAATGGAGACACGTGTGGACTCTCCAACAAACTGTGTTTGAAATGAATTCCTGAGGGAGAATTTGAACCAATATCTATTCACACATGGTTTCCAGACTGTATTTCAAGGATTACTCAGACGATGGTATGAACATGCTACAGACGACAGAAACAACGCCTTGTGTCATCTTATCTTATGAACAGTTACTGGACTACTGGACTCATCCCAGTAGTCCATGAAAAAACAGTTTTATATTAGATGTAGGTTGATTTTATAAGACAATGATTACAAGACAAATTTAAATTAAAAATAAAGTTTAAAAAGAGTCAGTCAGTGGGGGACCGGAGACACAAACAGGTTCTGTCCGCGGTGAGAGTTTTTTGATTGGCACCTTGAAAATTTAGCCCTGAGCTAAATGTTTCATAGCTTGACATTAGCAATAATAAATATATATTTGTATAGTCGAGCCAACCATAATGCACGTGTCCGTGGAGCGAGCCGGGCGGCTCCAGGCACGAGCACCGAGGGCGGGAGCTCTGAGATTTGGCGGACAGTTTGAAATAGTTTTCCACCAATGAGCATCGCAGACTCTCCTGTGGAGGCGCGGCTGAGCTCCGGGAGGAGTCCTCCACCAATCAGGAGCCGAGGTCTGAAGCTGCGTCACCGCTCCACAGCCGGTCCCCGCTTAAATAGCAGCGCGTCTCCTCCCGACCTGCACGCTTCTTCTGAGCAGAGATACCAGTCGATCATGGCACGAACCAAGCAGACCGCCCGTAAGTCCACCGGAGGCAAAGCCCCCAGGAAGCAGCTGGCCACCAAGGCCGCCCGCAAGAGCGCCCCGGCCACCGGCGGCGTGAAGAAGCCTCACCGGTACAGGCCCGGTACCGTGGCCCTGAGGGAGATCCGTCGCTACCAGAAGTCCACGGAGCTGCTGATCCGCAAGCTGCCCTTCCAGCGTCTGGTGAGAGAGATCGCTCAGGACTTCAAGACCGACCTGCGCTTCCAGAGCTCCGCCGTTATGGCTCTGCAGGAGTCCAGCGAGGCTTACCTGGTGGGCCTGTTCGAGGACACCAACCTGTGCGCCATCCACGCCAAGAGGGTCACCATCATGCCCAAAGACATCCAGCTGGCCCGCCGCATCCGCGGGGAGCGAGCTTGAGAAGTCTGCTCCTACTGACACCACAACGGCTCTTTTAAGAGCCACCTCACCGCCTCTGGAGAACTATTCCTGATGTTCTTATTAACTCATGAGGCACAAACCAACTGTTGTTGGGATGTGATTGTTTCATTTGAAACGGGGACCCGTGACACGTTAAATACCTCAAATACTGACCCATTGTGTATAGAACTACAGATTGTAATAGACGGTATTTGATGTCTGAAAACAGACAAATATTGCGAGTCAAAACAGTGAAAACTGTCCCCATCTGTCCTCTAATATCTACTGTTTTTCACCATATTAACAGTTTGTTCCTCGGTGTGTTAAGAAATTGTGTAGCATTCTTACTTAATCAGCTGTTCTTCACTCCCTGACACTTGGAACATGAAGCCAATAATTTTATATATTTGTTTCCCGTGGACGTGATAGTTATAATCTTATAGGGGTGTTAAGTTAAAAATGATTTACATGACGCTGCTTTGATGCCTCGTTTTCTTTTCAAGCAGTCGTGCTGTTTGACAACTACAAATTGATTTGACGACTTTGACAACTTCTGATATTTCCACAATATAACTCTCACATTACCCTCTCAATGGAGAGCATCAAAAATAAGTGTGCCCTTTATATTTAGAGAAACCTTTGAACTTGAGTGCATTTAATCATTGTTACAAATTCTATGTCATTGTGCATTTTTGCAATTCATCACTTTGTCACTTGTCTGTTACTTGTTCGTTTGCACTTTATGCTTAATATTTTTCTTTTTAACTTTTTAATATTTAAAATGTTTAACTTTATTCTCGTTTTATACTAACCCATAGCCTTATTCTACTAACCCATTGCATTAGCATTTCATTCCACTTTATTTTATTACTTGTGCACTGTTGTCTTGTCTGTCTACTGTCGCGCACCTAACCGCCAAGACAAATTTCTTGTATGTTTGACATATTTTGGCAAATAAATGTTTCCTGATTCCTGATTCCTGATCCCTGATTTGTCTTTTGCAAATTCAATTTGATTGTTATTTTACAAGTCTGACGGACAAATACATGTCATTCTCAAAACTTTTGGCCGCGGCTGTAGTCTTTATATAAAATAACATTACTCCATATATTACGAAGAATAACATCTCTATGATTTAAATAATCTGACATTACACTGGTTTTCATATACTTCATTATATGTATGATATATTATTACAGTCAATATAGGTTCTCTGCTTATACTTATACTACTAAACACAAGACATTATTGTCCTATTTTACATAACAAATGTTTAAGTACATTCAGAGTTTGACAACAGAGGAGACAAGTGTTGATTATTAATGATGTCGTTCAGCAGGAGGCGCTGCAGCGCCACGTTAAAGCCCCGCCTCCGTCTTCCATCACGTCCTCAGACTGGCTTTAAATACCTGTGAACTGACTCGAGTTCATCATCTTTGCATCAAACCGACCAGTGAACATGAGCGGAAGAGGAAAGGGAGGAAAGGGACTCGGCAAAGGAGGCGCCAAACGTCACCGTAAAGTCCTCCGTGACAACATCCAGGGCATCACCAAGCCCGCCATCCGCCGTCTGGCCCGCCGCGGCGGAGTGAAGCGCATCTCCGGTCTGATCTACGAGGAGACCCGCGGTGTGCTGAAGGTCTTCCTGGAGAACGTGATCCGCGACGCCGTCACCTACACCGAGCACGCCAAGAGGAAGACGGTGACCGCCATGGATGTGGTCTACGCCCTGAAGAGACAGGGACGCACCCTGTACGGCTTCGGTGGATAAAGGCCGACTGCTGCGGCCGACGGCACCCAAAAGGCCCTTTTAAGGGCCGCTCACCTTCTCTATAAGAGGCTGATTTCCTTTTAGCTTGACGCATTTTCTCATGAGGTCACGAGTATGAACACTTTTAAAAGCCTCAAATTATGTCCTTGTGTTTCTTAGTGTGGCGCTGACAATAGAGGCCTTAAACTTCAAGCTGGTCATTTAAATCATTCACAATAAATGACGTCCACCCCGTGGCCGCAGGAGTTTAAATCATTAACTGAAAACATAGCGGTGCAATAAAATTATATGGGATTTTAAATATTAGATCTGTCATCTGAAGCTGTTTTAGTAAATTAACTAATGTTGATCTTGAATATGTCTTACTATGGAGGGAATAAAATGACATGTATAAATGCTTAAATAAAAAATATATATGTGTATGTCTTTGTAACTTTGTAATCTGTTTTAACCAGTTACAATTCACAAAATCCCGTTTGAAATCAGAATATCAACCGATTTGTGTGAAGATCTTCCTCGTCGGATGGTGTTGAAGTCATTCAGGCCTCTTCTGGTCGCCGGCCTCGTCTCTCTGAGTCTGATCAGGAATCAGGAAACATTTATTTGCCAAAATATGTCAAACATACAAGGAATTTGTCTTGGCGGTTAGTGCGCGACAGTAGACAGACAAGACAACAGTGCACAAGTAATAAAATAAAGTGGAATGAAATGCTAATGCAATGGGTTAGTAGAATAAGGCTATGGGTTAGTATAAAACGAGAATAGAGAATAAAGTTAAAAAATTTTAAATATTAGAAAGTTAAAGAAAAATATTAAGCATAAAGTGCACTAACAAACAAGTAACAGACAAGAGACAAAGTGACGACAAAGTGATGAATTGCAGTTAAAGTGACGTGTGCAGTGTGAAGGGAGTGACCGGTGGAGTGTTATAGTCAGTCAGTGGGGGACCGGCTCTGTTGATGAGCCCGACTGCCGACGGGAAGAAACTGTTGGTGTGGCGGGAGGTCTTAGTCCTGATGGACCTCAGCCTCCTGCCAGATGGAAGGGGCACAAACAGGTTCTGTCCGGGGTGAGAGGGGTCGGCTACCATCTTTTTGGCTCGCTTCAGAGACCTGGAAGCGAACAAGTCCTGCAGGGACGGCAGATTGCAGCCGATCACCCTCTCTGCAGAGCGGATGACACGCTGCAGCCTGCTCTTGTCCTTGGCTGTGGCTGCAGCGTACCAGACGGTGATGGAGGAGCAGAGGATGGACTCCATGATGGCCGTGTAGAAGTGGATCATCATCGTCTTTGGCAGGTTGAATTTCTTCAGCTGCCTCAGGAAGAACAACCTCTGCTGAGCCTTCTTGGTGATGCAGCTGATGTTCAGCTCCCACTTGAGGTCCTGGGTGATGATGGAGCCCAGGAAACGGAAGGAATCCACAATAGCCCCAAGAAGGTAGCAAAGAGCCCCAAGAAGGTGGTGAAAAAGGCCCCCGCAGCCAAGAAAGCCCCCGTGAAGAAGGTCGCTAAGCCCAAAGCCAAGAAAGCAGCACCCAAGAAGAAGTAAACTGACCTCAGTCTGAACAACCAACGCTTCTATAAAAGGCTCTTTTAAGAGCCACCCAATCCTTCCTTAAAGAGCGTTTCCTTCTCTTTAGTTAACACGATACTTTTATGTTTATTATACACACACACACACACACACACACAGTCTCTATTTATTCTATTCTATTCATTCTGATGTTGTCCCACTATTGTGCGTCTCTCTGGTTGATGTCTCCTAGTCTACATACACATGAGACCTTTGACCCACTGCTGGTGTCTCTACACTATCTTGCCCCAACTTTTGCAATCCGGTCAAAGAGGAACTTTGGCTTTCTGTCTAAAGGTTCCCTCTGTTAAATTAAACAGATGCACCTGGATTTATAGATTCCCTAGAAATAACAAGTTGGACAACAGATTACACATTTTCCTCAATACATTATGACTATTATGAATGAAGTGTATTTTTGGTAAACAAACCACGGATGAATATCAGGCAACAAGGCAGTTTCTGCTTTAAATTGATAAGCAACAATGTAACAATTTGTACATTTCAAATAAACATGTACAACAGATGGAATTGTGACCGTTGTAAATGTAAGTAAGTAAATACTGTTCCATTTTAAAAATGAACACATCGGGAAATAGTGTGTAGTGATTTCAACATGGAGCCGATAAGCCACAAATAGCTAAAAATTCCCTCAATTGTGTCGAGGAAACAAAAACAAAAAAAGCCTAAATAACTTTGAATGAAGGTGGATTTCACATGTTTTACTATTAAGAGTCTAAACCTAGATTATCATCTCATGTGACCATCAACCAATGTTTAAATCAATGAATGAACACAATGCTGCAAACAGAAAAACAAGTTGATATTTATAATATATACTAGTTTATATCAAACGTCAAATGTTGGTGATTTGAGTTCACCACGTATATGCACTTATTACACAAAAAACACAAGCATAAGGAAACTGTCTTTAGAAGAGGTGGGTGGCTCTTAGAAGAGCCTTTGTGTTGGTGGTCTACATCAGGCTCACTTGGAGCTGGTGTACTTGGTCACGGCCTTGGTCCCCTCAGACACGGCGTGCTTGGCCAGCTCGCCGGGCAGCAGCAGGCGCACAGCGGTCTGGATCTCCCTGGAGGTGATGGTGGAGCGCTTGTTGTAGTGAGCCAGGCGAGAGGCCTCGCCGGCGATGCGCTCAAAGATGTCGCTCACGAACGAGTTCATGATGCCCATGGCCTTGGAGGAGATGCCGGTGTCGGGGTGCACCTGCTTCATCACCTTGTACACGTAGATGGCGTAGCTCTCCTTCCTGGTCTTCCTCTTCTTCTTGCCGCTCTTGCTGACGGCCTTGGACACGGCTTTCTTGGAGCCCTTCTTGGGCGCTTTCACAACCTCAGGCATGATTCAAGTCTCTGTCGCAGACTGACAATGTGGCGATGTGAACAGGACGGTGTTCATATATGAACCAGATGCAAATGTCACTGTGCGGTTGCTCGAGCGTGATTGGTTGTCTTCTGTGTGATACTGCGCATGCGTCTCACAGGCGGATTTCTCTATTGAGACCGAATCACTTTGGTGCTTTTAACACGAGTTTGTCTCGTGAGTTTCACATTGAGAATCATGTTGTAAGAATCATTGTGTGCACTGAAATCATCTAATGACCGTCACACAAACCATTCACAATCACAGGGCCCTGTTGATAGTTACAGTTACACACTTCAATTCTTGACGTGTCAAGACATGACACACACCTTTTTTCATCCAGAATAGACAAATACATGTATAATAGTCATAAATAAATATTATAGGGCACCTTAACAGGACTTGTAGGCATTCAGCACACTGAGCCACGGAAGTGAAACATGTACAGTTTGTGTTCTTATGGCTAGACTCACTTTGTGATGTGACTTTAGAAGTTGGATGAGCGCAATTATCCTGATGACTGAAGTCTAGAAGTTTAAATTACTGCCGGCAATAAAGAATTCAAGTAGCGCAATTTGGTTGTTTTATTTATTCATCAGGTTAAGTTGAATAGGACATTTGATGGACTGGAAACAGTTGGACAGATTTGACAAATATCCACTGTATTTTCACATTGATTACAAACACCGAAGCAGACAAATCAATGATTTAGTCTATAACCAAATACTGATCTAATAGTTGTGTGGTCAGTTGATCCCAAATCATTAAAGTGTTTTATACACAAACACTTATCAGAACAAATGCAAAGCACTAGAAAGGAGTTTGTTATTGTGCTACAGACATGTGGACCGCAGCTCTTTTCGTGGGGGTTGGCGGCTCTTAAAAGAGCCTTTGTGGTGCAGATGGAGGCCTCCGTCTCTACTTCTTGGCGGGCTTCTCGGTCTTCTTGGGCAGCAGCACCGCCTGGATGTTGGGCAGCACGCCGCCCTGAGCGATGGTCACTCCGCCCAGCAGCTTGTTGAGCTCCTCGTCGTTGCGGACCGCCAGCTGCAGGTGACGCGGGATGATGCGGGTCTTCTTGTTGTCGCGGGCGGCGTTTCCGGCCAGCTCCAGGATCTCGGCGGTCAGGTACTCCAGCACGGCCGCCAGGTAGACGGGGGCTCCTGCGCCGACACGCTGCGCGTAGTTCCCTTTGCGCAGATGCCTGTGGACGCGGCCGACCGGGAACTGGAGCCCGGCTCGGGAGGAGCGGGTCTTCGCCTTCGCTCTGGCTTTGCCGCCGGTTTTGCCTCTGCCGCTCATAGTTAGACTGTGTGGAGGAAAGGAAGTGTCGATGGTCGCGTCAAACCCTCCTTTATATGTCCGCGGAGCGGGCGGGACGGTCCCTGACGCGCGCACCAACCAGAGAAGAGGCTCCAGGCGCGAGAGCAGAGGGCGGGACCTCTGAGATTTGGCGGAACGTTTGAAATCGTTTTCCACCAATGAGCTCCAGGAGGAGTCCTCCACCAATCAGGAGCCACGGTCTGATTAACTGAGGTTCAAGAGAATCAAAAATCTCTGGATGATTATCTGAGGTTAAGATGAATGATTATTATAACACATTCTTTAGATGTTATAAACTAGTCTTTAGAGGGCCATCATGGTTTATGGCCAAAAACGTCTGAATACATCAGTAAATTTAGTAAGTTCCCCATTACACGTATGTGTGCAATTCTAACATTAATATGTTTAAATAATTGTCTTCATACTTTGTTGAGCTGAGGGAATTTATTATTATTTTTTGAAGAGTAGACATAAGTATCATGTAATATTTCATGCCAATGTACATGGGCATAGAGGAGGTCAACTCGAACTAGGATCAAGTGGAATTAGTGTGTTACCAATTTTGGATCTGGTTTAAAGACAGTTCAAAGATTGAGAAGAGGGGAATATCATGTCATTAATACTGATTTCATCTTTACTTTTCTTAAAAACTATACAGTAATATTTCATAGAAATGTGCATGAGCATAGAGGAGGTCCACACGAACTAGGATCAAGTGAAAGCCGAGTGTTACCATTTTTGGATCTGGTTTAAAGACAGTTCAAAGTTTGAGAAAAGACACTTTACAAATTAGTGCCT